AAAACCGTTTAGGTAATAAAAGGTGTAACATTATAAGAAGACCTGGCACATATCACAAAGGCTATGTTACCCTTAGGCTTCTGACAGAACTCTCTTAATAGTTCTTGTCTATTGATATGGTGCGCGTGGTTCTGTGGATAAGGGTTAGAACCTACACGTGCGTGTCAGAAAAGGGGGCGCACGTCATCAATCATGCGTCCTCCCAATACGGCGTGTCATACCTTTTTGAGTCGTTTCAACCCAAAACCACTTATCACGACCTTTCGTCAATAAAACGGTTCATTTTAATCCCTCCCTATAAATACCTCTTTCCCCCCAAATCAAAAACCTTTACCACTCTCCAAAATACTCAGGCGAACCTGCATCTTGTGATTTCTCAAAGCAAAAACCTGCAACCTAATACCATGTCTTCTTCATCTGCTTCAGCCCAATCAGTAAACGTGTCAAGCGACAATGAAGTGACCCAAGCTCAAGCTCTCACATCCCACGCACTGTTGTTTGTTCAAAACAAATACGAGAAAGTCGTCCTGGTCAAGAAGCCAAACAACTACTATTTTGCTCCTTCTTCTACAGGTTTTCCCGAATTCACTTTTCCTTTACTTGAAATCTTAAGAAACCACCCACTTTTCTTTGCCCTATCCACCACTAAGCCTACCCCTGAAACTTACTTAACCCAATTTCTCCTTAGTTCCTATATCACAACCCTTGATAATTCTAGGTTAACCATTGTTGGATACGCCTCACATCCTGTTAATAAATCCCTGGTTCCATTAGAACTAAATGTGGACATATTGAGAACTGCCCTGCATTTGCCCACCTTGGAGGACCTTAACTTGAATGCCTATGCTGCGACACCCACAGATGAGGAATTGATACAATTCCTGGAATTTCACTCATATGCGACCCCAATCACCAAGAGGACTCAATTTAGGCGCAAAGGACTGCTCCCTGTCTGGAACACCCTGTTTTCCATTATCAACAGCTGCTTGACAGGGAAGGTGGGCAGTCATGATCAAACCTCACATGCGATGATATCCATCGTTTATGGGATATACTTCAACCTTCCTATGGATTAC